AAAAAGTCCCTTAAAACTCATCTGTTTAGGTCCGCCTATGACCTGTGATGCACCCTCCTTGCCCTACCTAATTTTCTGTTTCGGTTTAATCCTGAAGTGTCAAAGTGTCCTCTTTTTATAGCCATTTTCATTGTTTCTATAGAATAGTAGTTACTATCCTAGTGTCTCATTTGTATTCACTTATTTTACATGTTTTAATAATTGTAAAGCGCTTAGAGCTTTATGATAAGCGCTATATAAAAATGCCTAAATAAATAAATAAATAAATAACAGGATCAATGGTGAAAATTAAAAGCAAACACCAGAGCCTCATCACCCAGATGAGAACATAAACACTCTTCTACTCGAAGCTACAACTAGACTGGTTACATCCTATTTGGGACCCCAGCTGTCGTCATTGCGGACAGGCGCTGCAGACTGTAGTGCACTTGCTAGACAGCGCCTGATTCTAATGAGTGGAGGGGTTGGCAACACGCCAGACATGAACACAGAAAGGCTTATCTATGGCGATGCCCAGCAGATGCAGGACGCCTGTAAAATCTTGACGGGGCCATAAAGGAACTTTAGCTCGGCCCAAAATTATGAATTTAAAAATAATTTATATACCAAGGCCAACATAAAGGCCCTACTGTTTTATAAACATCCTTGCCAACATATGGGCCATATCATTTTATACATACTCACGCCAAATGTTAATGTGTGTATTTTTTTTACCTTTAACCCTATCTGTTATAATCATTTTTTGGAAATTCATACAAGACACTTGTTAATGATTAAAGATGAGGGCATTTAATTTAAAATGTTTACTTTGAAATAAACACAGATTCCATTTGATGAATGTTGATATTTAATTTCAAACAATTTATCAATTAAGAAAATCAATTGAGTTGACGATTTAATAATTATGCGAAAATTTGTTAGATACAAATTTTTATTTTTTATTTTTACATTCCACAGTTCTTCAGAAAATGGTGTAGTATAATCGGTGGGCAGCGTTACTAGAGAAGTGGCAGAACTTCCTGACATGCTGTGGTTAAAAGACTTATAGTACTTAAATATTGTGTGCAACTCTTTTATAAATTATCGCTTGCTCATACATAAGGGTTTAAATTATCGATTTAAATCGACAACAAGGGAACGTTTCTCATTTTTATACACCTTCATGTCATTGAAAAGAAGCCTAAAAATTTTTTTTAGAAGGAAAAGGACCTATTCGTTTACAATAAATGTACACCACTTCATAGAAATAGAACCATAAACAATGACAACAGTGAAACAATGGAAAAATAGGTAAGATCCATTTTGATTATATAATTTTACAATTTAGTTTCTAATTGGCCACAATTATAACCTGATATATCATCACCAGTACGTATTGCTTTGTAGTAATATATATATATGTTCAGACTGTTTACAACTTATATCTCAGAAATATCATTAAAGTGACTATGTTAAAGATCGAGAAATGTATGAGGTCACTTTCACGGTGGCAGTGGAGCATCCTCTCCTCACCTTCAAACGTCCTCAGAACATCAATAAAAGATTAAATTATACATCTTTTCTTAATCTCACACATATGATTACAAGGAAAATCGTCACATTTAAAAAAAAATATATGTGTGATTTTCCTTACACTTATATCTTCCTTCTATTGTAGAAGAGACAGATTTCCTTATGTCTTCCGTTTGGTTCTAAAATTGTCCAGCATTAATACGGTAACGGTTTAAAACAAAGTGGCTTGTAAAACCAAGACTCCTTCTTCTACCTCATTGCTACCAGCTAACAAGATGCTCTGTTCACCGGGTCTCTCCATTAACAGCTTCATACTTTTCCCTTCCAAGGCATTGTCAACAACCACCAGACTATTGCATACACTCTGACGCAGATCTTCTACATGTTTGTCATTCTCGTAAGGATATTTTGAAAGTTCGTATTTTGATCCAGAATAAGTCACTTATTTTATAAGTATGTGTTGAGATCGGTCACATTTTGAGACCACCCTGGTAGAAAAACAGAGCAATTTGTGTTTCCACAAAAATTAAATTTTCTCCTCTCTTTCCCATATGAATGCATATAAGAATATATTATATTTGTTCACTAAACAGATGTCGAGAATAAAATGAAACGGTCCAAATTTAACTGGGTACAAAATTAGGGTTCTTGTAACAAAATCAGCATATCACAGTAGCCTCGAAAACAGTGGAAGGCATATTGAGCTCTTTGCCAAGCTATAGGCGAGACTACTCCGTAAAATGACACCTACTTTGCTGACATATTATGTGGCATATCCTAGAAGGTGGAGCTTGTGGCAAATGTGGCGCACCCCTCAAGGAATTAGTTGTAATGGACATATATGGTATCGCATAATGGTTTCTTAGTCAAGAAAAATTAAGGTAATATTTGATTGTTTCTGTAATAATGTTTCCTATCTTCAGTGAGAGCAAGCACGGTAATGATGGATTGTTTGCTGCAAAATTTCCCATCTTCAATTTATCGTTTCGAGCGAAAGCTGTCAGAGCCTACAAAAGTTATGTAAAATAATCCATTAATTAGTTTATTCTCGTCCGAATTGTCAACAACCACTAGACTAATCCAAATACTCGGACACATAGTTCCTACATGTATACCACATTAGTAAATGATTTTATCCTAAAATAAATGTTTTAATATATATTAATGAATTTAATTATAGTCTGTGTGTAGACCTAATATTTGCGTCATTGAGGAGCTGTTGCATCCACCCCTTATCTCCCCCTTTTTTTTTTTTTTGAAATTGACTTCACCAATTAAATGTATAGTGATCTAAAATTAACGAAAAATAAATTCATTTGGGAAAACGTTATTTAAATTCTGAATTGTTCTAAAGAATTCAATCAGGTGATGCTATTTCTAGAATTCTTTTATAGTTTGTTATAAGCCCTTCCTCATAAATAAGTCGTTAGCTTTACCAGCGGAAGAGTTTTTCTAGATTTCCTGCTACCAGACTTCCAAGATGTTTATTTTTTGTGTGTGTATGCTAATATTTAATTTGTTTCATTCGAAAATTGTTCTACATGTTTCGCTTGCTGTAAGTTAATATGGATATTTTTAAAAAACAATTACTTGGTAGTTCTGAACACATCATCATAACTTTAGAGCCACTGCGTTGTTATCAGTATCGCCACGTAATAGGGCATTCCCATTGTAATTTTCAAATATGCATGTCAAACATAGCCTTGTTTTCAAAATTCGCGCCGATACAGAGGGCCTGTGATGTGTAATGTGTGTTTTAAAGTGACCAATCTTGAAGTGATAGACACAACACTTGATTCAATCCAGTTCTGCAACGTCAGGAAATTGATTTGTTTCTTATTTAAAGCACAACATCGCACATCCATATCTTGATTTTTTTTAGGATTTAAACCAAGGACCGACTCAGTCATGTCAGCCAACGTTAGCAATCTAACAGAATTAAAAAATAACAAGAAGAGACAAGGTAAGGCATTTATTTGATTAGATGTGTAAGATTGGGTGGGGAACGATACGACTTTTTCACTCAATGTTTTGATGGACAGCGTCAGAAGCTTTGTCAGTCAAAGTATTAAACACATTTTGAAAATAAAAAATCTTTGCATTGTTTTGTATAAATTTAATTTCGACCCATTATTATTCTTGCAACTTACAAAAAAAAATGGGGTCCGGACTATTTGTCTCAATGTGGTTTTCTGACATTTTCATTCAGTTTGTGGGAGACAACATTAAGAAATTCTAAATTACTAGACAAAGTCTTCATCTATTTAATTACATTAACTGCATATATAAATATCTATAAGTGCTACAACTCTGGTACACTTTAACTGATACATACTTATTTTAACCGTTACATAGACACATTACGTGATTGATAGAAAATATTTATGGTAAATGTTGGTCGATCTCGTAAGATACAGTGTTGTGGGAACAAACATGTGCTAAGCTGCATTGAGATGTCTCTTTAGCTGTAAGAAATGTACAGCTAGTTGCAAGCATCACTAAAAATAGATTATAGATCAATAACTTTTGTGATATATCGTTGTTTTAAACAAGAAGACTAGAAATAAAAGAACTAAGAAAATTTGAACTCAAAATCGCAAAGGACAGACTATCCTCCCATTTAACGATACCAATAACAGAACTAGATGCAATTTAAAAAAAAATAATAATTTTAGTAAGTGTGTTCACTAAGCTTAATTTTTTTTTATATAAAACTAAGTGTTATATTTTGCCTGTGTCAACATGGATTTTGATGTTGTAAACCCATCAGTAGAGGCATCAGACAAATGTTCTAGAAAGGAGCTATTTTCTATTGCTAAAGATTTAGGAATAAGTGTAGCTCATTTGGCAGTAAAAAAAAAAACCGTACGAGATATGATCAGTGGATGTGTTGTGAGAGAACGAAATAGCCTCACTCACACAACCACATGATCCTAGTATGGAGCTCCAACTAAAGCTCAAACAGCTGGAGCTAGAAAAAGAACGTGAGCTTAAACAAATGGAGCGATAAGCTCAGAGAAAGAGAGATGAAAAATTACGAGAGCTACAGAGAGAGAAACAAGAAAACGCTTTAGAGCTAAAAATAAAATTAAAAGAAATGAAAATAACGGCCAGTTTGGGAACAATGGAAAATAGATTCACGGCTCCTGCCGGTCAGGGTTGCGATGCAATTAAATATTCAAAAGGAATCCAATAATTTTTATAAAAAATAGGTTGACCAATATTTTGCACAGTTTGATATAAATGCACACAATTTTAACATTCCTGAAATTATGTGGTCTAGCTTACTGCAAACTGCTTTGACTGGAAGGGCAGCCGAAGTTTTTGTGTCCTTGAACGCGGAACAGCGCGGGGACTATAACCTTGTAAAATCCTTAATACTTAAGGCTTATGAATGTGTCCCCGAAGCATACCGTAAAAAGTTTAGGGAGCTGTGGAAACGTGATGGCCAGACTCATGTTGTGTTTCTCCGGAAAAAAAGAACGGCTCCTGGACAAGTGGCTGCACGCAACCGAAACCAACACAGACTTCAAAAAGTTCAAGAACCTCATTCTGATAGAGGATTTCAAGAATATTTATAAACAAAAGTTGCTGTTGATGATCAATGATTGCAAAATTCAATTGATTGAAAACACTACATCTTTTCTCAAATAAACCTTTCTATTCACTCACGTGTTTTTATGACCATTTTTTTGCCACGCATATCAATTATGACCATTCCAAATTGCACTAAACAATGGACTTTTTACCTTTACCCTTTTGTTGTTAAATGTATACTATGTTCGGACACGGGCCGTAGCTTGCCTGTCCAAAGCCATGTAACATACCCTAACCTTATTTTATTTTCCTTGTCTAGCTAGCCTATCAAGACAAGATGAAAATTGTGGTAAAAAACCAAAGCTGACCATAAGATGTGTTGATAATCAAAAGGTAAAATCTAGATGAACTGAACTTATTGTATCACCTTTAAAAATATAATATATAAATAGGCTAATCTTATTTCTTCATTAATCAACAGCTAAAATCTAAATTAGAAAATCCAACTGTTTTATCTAAGGAAACCGTCAAACAGTTTATCATAATGCAATAATTTAAAAGTAAATTAACACTGAAAAGAGGATGCAAAGAAATGATTCCTTATTGCATGTCAAATAAGTGTTTAACATTATTTAATTTATTATACATACTAGAGGAATTTTAAATGATATATTTTACCGAAGCATGTCAAACAGTGGTCCAGATATACCGAAGGTATACATTAAATTTAAATACACTGAAACTCTGTTAAATTGATATACCCGGTACACTGAAGTGATTTTAAATGCACAAAAACTGAACGCATATTATATACCCACGCTCTTATAAATAGACATCTGCTGAAGAGATAATAAAACCTTCTCATTAAAGACATGTTAAATACAAACACACACACACACCCTTTTATCGTATATTAAATGTACGTATACTTTATGTTGATCACACATTGAACGTATGAACATATACTAAATTGATATAATAATCGGTGTCATGCTACGAATTTACTTATTTTTAAAATTTATGATGTATAGTCACACAAAAAAACCTAGTAGCTTATAGAATCTAATATTTATTTTTGAAGTAATGTATAAATAGATTCTTATTATCAGATAATTTTCTTTTTTTTTAAATCTTTGTTTTCCTTTTTGTAGCCACTACCAGATGATGCCAATAAAGAGAATGGAGGCGAATTGTGTGAAGCCTTCGGTAACGTTACAATAAGCTTAATTTTTAATGAAGCGGAAGCTAAGCATTGATATACAATGTAGAACACCTGAGATTAGAGGAGCTAAATAAAGCCACATTAAATACTTTAAAAAAAAATAAAAAATTCTCAAACACGTATCCAAAAAAAACTCCCACAAAAGTTCAGAGTTGCTACAGTCATTTGACTATTAAAAAAAATTGGGCTGCCCATCAATTCAATGGATTTATTTTTTCAGCTCAATTTGGAGATGAGGAATCGGGTCAAAATTGAGATGCAACATTTGACTTCCTACAATTTAACAAACGGACAGAGCAACTGAAGAAAAAAGTCACTGCATTTTATGGGCGTTCAAGTCGTTTTGAGTCATATGATTAACAACTCTGAAATTTGAGGGACATTTATTGGATCGTTTCAGCATACTTTAGGAAATGTGTGTTTTGAAATGGTTATTTTCATAGTGTTTCATTTGGTAAGTTTTAGTCAAAGTGTACAAAGTTTCATCTGCATTGGAGAACGGGAAGTGGGTTAATATGGTGATGCCAGATTTTACCCGCAGAGTGACCTACTCTCATGAAGGGGGTGGGGGTGGGTAAGTGAACAAAGTTTAAGCAGAATTAAGGATCAGGAAGTTGGTCAAAATTGACATTCCAGATTTGACACGCAGGGGTCAGACGCGGGTCGATATCGGTTATTGCTAGCCTTCTGATCACGTGAGGTTGTATTGTCACCAGTAAACAGTTATCATATAAAATTTTAAGTTTTATAGGCTCTTTGGAACAGGATGAAGATTGAATTACAATACTTGACCCAGAAAAAAATTCAAAGTTGCCATTTCATATAAAAGCGTGTAATAAAACGATATGCGTTTTGCATAGATTCAAAAAAAACAAAACAACAAACTTAAACAATTAAAACATAAGCCCTTGAAAGAAGAACTAAAGGTAAAAACAAAAATAGTTTTCCTTAAATCATAAGGCCTGGCTACCTTAATTTCTTATTGACTTTCAGATTAAATATTTAATTTTAAAATAGCGTGAAAACACTCTGAAAAATTCTGGACAAAATTGGAAGTTCTATATCTATCGGTCATTACTTTGAAGGAAAGAATTTGCAGTGATCGAGGTGATCATAAAATTAACTATGATATAATGGGTGCAATATAAGTTAAGATATACCTTAATTTACTTGCAGGTAGATAGGTAGGTAAACAAATCATATAAATGTATATAAATATTTATATAAATCTCTCTCTCTCTATATATATATATGTATATATATTTATATATATATATATATATAAATATATATATATATATATATATATAGAGAGAGAGAGAGAGAGAAGTAAAGTGTTGCTTTAAAAAATTAACTAAACTATCTTTATTTGCGATAAGCTTTTTCAGATTATTACCCGCAGCTGATATTGGCCAAGAATCTTAACACCAAGAAATGCGAAAAAAATCCGAAGCATACAGAATTTGTGCCAATTAAGGATTTTAGCCACCGCAAACTTCCACATCCTTATAACAAAGATGATATGTTCGACAAGCTCGTCGCGGCCCTCGGTAAACTTGTGGTGAAGATAACTTATGAAGGAACAAGTCCAAATCGACCAATGGAGTACAAGAAGTTCAAAGGTAACTTTGTGGGGAGTGGAAATATCATATTTTCAAAAACAAGAGAAAGATCACTGTTCAGCAGATGTCCCTGTCGAGACTGTAGAAAGGATCCAGTCGAGGAATGGGGAGAAATTAAAATTAGAACGGCTGCCCACGTGGTATGTGACGATGACGAGGCATCGCGTGCGGAATGTCTCATGTATTACGATTCTGAGAACTCAGATGTGATCAAATTACAGGGGATCCGAGTGAGTCAAATGAACAGACAATACGACACAGCTGAGATTATTTGTGTTACACACGACGTCAACCTGGCCTATCAACTTATGTACATGATTTATGATTATAAAGATTATCATACAAAACTTTACAAAAGATACCTTACTGAGGGGGTCAACAACCTAGTTATACTTATATCCCACCCTCACGGGTGTTCAAAACATGTTACGTTTGGTAAAAAAAAACAGTGCAAAGTTCTGGAAAAGTTGCGCAGTGACATTTATGTGACCAAGTATTATTACGACAGTCACGCATGTCCCGGGAGTAGTGGGGCTCCAGTTTATATGTTGAGCAAAGAGAGTATTTGGATATCACCTCCTCATAGCGTAGCCTATGGTAAAGGGGGGCAGAGTGGTGCAGTGTGGGAGAATTTTTAGTTTTTTGTGGAGGGCGGATGCTACAGGAAAGCAAAGGTCAGCCACGAAGTTATCAAGCATGGCCACTGTCTATAAAAATGACTGGCATTTTTTACATTTTTTTTTAATGAAGTACATTTCAAAAGATAAATATAATTTATAATCCTAATATTTAAAAAAAAAAAATTAAACAGCGCTCTAGACCGGCTGCTACGAAATCAAACACTATCATTCTTTAAGTCAGTATTGTCACCAAGGGAGTTCGGCTGTCTGATACGTGACAGCTGATGTTTGTGCTTGAGAAATACATATATTTCTTGAGGCCCCTTGTTGTAGTTAAATATGGCCTTGAATAAAATATGTAAGTATTTTTGTGCTGAAAATGAATATGTACGTTGTAAGGAAAACACATTTCCAATTTTACGGATCAACAAAAAAGTTTTGTTTTCTTAATTATATGTTTAATTAGATTAAAATTTAATCGTTATATCTTATAACTTATAAAAAGATTTCATAATCACAAACGAAAATATTTTGCCTCAGTCCTTGTTGAATTTCACTATCCGATTTTAAGATCTTACGTCTAAGTTGCTATACTATTAAAGTAAAGAAAATAATTAGACGTCCCATTGAGTATTTGTTAGCAATGCTTGCTTTTTAAAAGAGTTTAATATGTTAAGGGAAAAAAATATGTTGTAATATAAAGTGTACTAGCTATTTCCGTTGAGTTAGTTTTAGCTACATACACGCATTTGTGATGGATTTTGTTTGTCTAATTATTGCAAAACTCGGTAATATTATTAAGTTGTTATTACATTATATTCTGTTGAACGCCTTGCTTTCTACCCAATTTGTTTTCTCGTTTCAATAAAGCTTCACCAAAGTGTTTCAACTCAAATTGTTTGCCTTTATATTACTGCATGTTTACGTTTTTGAACAATCTTTTTATCAATAAGTCCAGGCAAATATATGACTTCTAGGTATAGAGAGCACTTCAGTTGAAGAATTTCAACAATAACAGTAATTTAATTATGGTACTAATATTGTAGAGCCAAACGTATTGCTCCACAAACGTGGTACTAGAACGTAAATACTTGAGCACAACGCACTTGATATGTTCATACTGAAATATTACATTGGTTTTTTGGCCGAGCTATTGCTCTTCGATGGCCCCGCAAACATTTTACAGTGTTTGAACAGAGAGTCCAGAATTTGCAAATCTTCCAAATGAGTCCTTATCTGCCCCACAAGACCCTTCCCCACTCCAACCATGTTTTTTTCCTCCATCACGTGCAAATCTTGAAGCTGATTACACTAAAGGTTACAGTCTTGCAAAAAGTTTTTTCAACTTTCGTGAAAATGTCTTTTCCAGTTGTTGTTCCATGCATGCCAACACTTCCGTTATCTGAAAGTCTAAATTGTCACCAAGAATGAGCACTAGAAGTTTTGACGTACTCGGGATATAATTAATATAATAAATATATATACATATATTAATTAAGAAATTGCACGTTTCATCAATTAATATTAAATTACAACCGTTTGCATTTTCTTTAAATGTTGCAATTTTGTAAATAAGTTTTCCTGAATAAAAAAATTAAAATAAATATTAAGTACGTATATATGTATCCTAACTGCCCTTGTGTAACTGTCCCACCAATTCGAACGCATCTTTTAAAAAGCCATTATATTTAGTTCACTTTTGTTCGTTACTGGCTGGTTGGCTGGGTGGCTGGCCGGCAGAATCTTCAGATGCCTAATTGACCCACTTGCCGTCAAAATATTGAATTGAAAATTGGCACATATAAACTGTATAAGAATCCAGATTTGTGCTCCCCCCCCCCCGAGTTTTGGCTCCGCACGTTTTTTGACTCACCTAGACTATTCACTCATACCCAATCACTCAGTCCCAGCCACTGAGACCCATTCTTTCAGACCCATCCACTCAGACCCATCCACTGAGACCCATCAAATCAGACCCATTCACTCAGACCCATCAAATCAGACCCATTCACTCAGACCCATCCACTCAGACCAATCTATTTAGATCCAACCACCCACACCCATTCACTCAGACTCATTCACTCAGACCCATCAACTCACACCTATCAACTCAGACCCATTTACTCAGACCCATCCACTTAGACCCATCTAATAAGTCGCATTCACTCAGACCCATTCTCTCAGACCCATTCTCTCAGACCCATCAAATCAGACCAATTCACTCAGACCCATCTACTCAGACCAATTTAGTCATACATATCTACTCAGACCCATCCACTAAGACCCATTGACTGAGATACACTCAGACCCATTCACTCAGACCCATCAACTCAGATCCAATCACTCAGCACCATCCAATCAGACCCATGCACTCAGACCTATTTACTCAGACCCATCAACTAAGACCCATTCACTCAGACAAATCTAATCAGACCCATTCACTCCGACCCATTTACTCAGACCCATTCACTGAGACCTATTCACTCAGACACAATCACTCAGACCTATCGACTCAGACCCATTCTTTCAGACCCATCAACTCAGACCCATCTAGTTAGAACCATCCACTCAGAACCATTCAATGAGACCCATCCACACTGACTCATCAATTTAGACCCATTCACTCAGACCCATTCATTCAGACCCATTCAATCACACCCATTCAATCAGACCCATCTGCTCAGAACCATTTATTCAAACCCATCAACTCAGACCAATCTAGTCAGACCGATCGACTCAAACCCATTCTCTCAGAAACATCCACTCAGAAACATCCACTCAGAACCATCCAATCAGACCCATCCACTCAGACCCATCCACTCAGACCCATTAACTCAGACCCATCCACTCACAACAATCTAATGACCCATCGACTCAGACTCATCCACTCAGGCCCATTCACTCAGACAAATCCACTCAGACCCATCCACTCAGAAACATTATCTCAGTCCCATCCACTAAGACCCATCTAGTCGCACCACCACTCAGACCCATTCAATCAGAACAATTCCCTCAGATGCATTCAATCAGACCCATCCACACAGACCCATCTAGTCCGACCATCCACCCAGATCCATGTAGTCAGACCCCTCAACTCAGAATCATCCACTCAGACACATTCACTCAGACTCATTCACTCAGACCGATCTACTCAGAACAATTCACTCAGACCCAACAACTCAGATCCAATCACTCAGCACCATCCAATCAGACCCATGCACTCAGACCTATTTACTCAGACCCATCCACTCAGACCCATACACTCAGACCCATCAAATCAGACCCATTAACACAGACCTATTAATTCAGACCCATTCATTCAGACCCATTCACTCAGACCCACACACTCAGACCCATCTAGTCAGACCTATATACTCAGACCCATTCTTTAGACCCATCCATTTAAAACAGGAATATTTACCATGCATTCACTTAACTGATATATTATACACATTCGCTGCCTGTTTACCAAAATAGCACAAGAACATGAGACACTGCGTAGACATTGTTTCTCTCCTATTAAATGATTCTTTGCTTAATTTAAATCTGTATTGAATCATGTGATTTTTATGTGCAGAGAGTGTACACAAGCATGATTTGATTTTCAATTCATCTTGATTTCACATTAAAATAACAAACAAGCAAAAGCTACACTTGGATAAGTAAGGCTAGATATACAAACAACCGAACACAAGGTATTTTTTTTTTTTAATATCATAAAATTATTTTCGGTTTTGTAATAGTTTTATCTAAGGAAATCATCAAAGTTCGTTGATATGTTTAAAATTTATGGTGTTGTTTTTTAACAATGTTAGGTTGATCTTTTATATCGTTGCTGTGAAGTAGATTTAGGAGCATGAATTTGTGTTGTGGCAGAGTTACTGGCCGTGAGAGGTGTGTCTTGTAGGTCGTGAATTTTGACCGCGGGGTTAGTTCGTGGTTCAGATCGAGGGGTCAGATGGTGGGGTCAGATAGTGGCTGCGGGTGTACACTGAGTGTTCGTTGTGTTGGGAGGTTTTATTAAAGAGAGTGGTGTGTTAGGTTAGGTTGGTGTGTCCATCATCTTGTTTTGCTGTTATGAGAGAATTCGGGACTTGGTTAACGTGGAAGTGCAAGTGCTAGCTGTCAAGAGTAACATCAGTTGCTTAGCTTGACAGTGAAAGTGCTAGAGATCAAGAGTATGGTCAGTTGGTTAGCATGATAGCGATGTTAGTTGATATGTTTAAGATTCATAGCGATGCTAGTTGATATGTTTAAGATTCATAGCGATGTTAGTTGATATGTTTAAGATTCATAGCGATGTTAGTTGATATGTTTAAGATTCATAGCGATGTTAGTTGATATGTTTAAGATTCATAGCGATGTTAGTTGATATGTTTAAGATTCATAGCGATGTTAGTTGATATGTTTAAGATTCATAGCGATGTTAGTTGATATGTTTAAGATTCATAGCGATGTTAGTTGATATGTTTAAGATTCATAGCGATGTTAGTTGATATGTTTAAGATTCATAGCGATGTTAGTTGATATGTTTAAGATTCATAGCGATGTTAGTTGATATGTTTAAGATTCATAGCGATGTTAGTTGATATGTTTAAGATTCATAGCGATGTTAGTTGATATGTTTAAGATTCATAGCGATGTTAGTTGATATGTTTAAGATTCATAGCGATGTTAGTTGATATGTTTAAGATTCATAGCGATGCCAGTTGATATGTTTAAGATTCATAGCGATGTTAGTTGATATGTTTAAGATTCATAGCGATGTTAGTTGATATGTTTAAGATTCATAGCGATGTTAGTTGATATGTTTAAGATTCATAGCGATGTTAGTTGATATGTTTAAGATTCATAGCGATGTTAGTTGATATGTTTAAGATTCATAGCGATGCCAGTTGATATGTTTAAGATTCATAGCGATGTTAGTTGATATGTTTAAGATTCATAGCGATGTTAGTTGATATGTTTAAGATTCATAGCGATGTTAGTTGATATGTTTAAGATTCATAGCGATGTTAGTTGATATGTTTAAGATTCATAGCGATATTAGTTGATATGTTTAAGATTCATAGCGATGCCAGTTGATATGTTTAAGATTCATAGCGATGCTAGTTGATGTTTAAGATTCATAGCGATGCTAGTTGATATGTTTAAGATTCATAGCGATGCTAGTTGATGTTTAAGATTCATAGCGATGCTAGTTGATATGTTTAAGATTCATAGCGATGCTAGTTGATGTTTAAGATTCATAGCGATGCTAGTTGATATGTTTAAGATTCATAGCGATGCTAGTTGATGTTTAAGATTCATAGCGATGCTAGTTGATATGTTTAAGATTCATAGCGATGCTAGTTGATGTTTAAGATTCATAGCGATGCTAGTTGATATGTTTAAGATTCATAGCGATGCCAGTTGATATGTTT